ACCACAGACCATGTGAGTGTTGCTTCCTCGGACCGACGACCCAAGGCCAAAGCCCGACCGCGGCGCGGAGGCGAAGCCGTTCGGGGTGATGTGGTCTTGATTCGTTACGAGAACAAGCACAACCTATGCACGGAAGTGGAGAACCGTCGAGGCCTACATGACGCTTGTGGTGTGCCGCTACGGGACATGGGACCCGAGAACAGTCAGCGGGTGGTGGATCTCATTGAGCAGCAGCTTTCGGACCATCGTGACCGACGACTGCCTCAACGAGGAGATCGTCCAAACTTTGGGTATGATGAGAATACTCAGGAATGGGCAAACCCAGGCTACGAATCCATCGGCGGCGGAAGGCCAATCCGATGCGGAATTCTTGACCTGATCCCGACCAAGGGTGCAAGCTTCATCAACAACCGATGGGACATCGTGAATGAAGTTGTCCTTCGCAACATCACCCATCATCGAAGAAGGAACGCAGAACGGGCACTATCCTGCATTCAATCTGACTTACGCCACAGAATTGCCAGGCGCCCAGGTTCAGAATGGCTTGACAACCGGTGCCAAGTGGCGTTCAACAGCGTCATTCGATGTGATGAAGGAGGATGGGTGCTGATCGAGGACTTGGTGAGGCAAGAACAACTATGGACCCATGAAAGCAGGCGCATTACCGAAGCGGTCTCAAGGACCGACGAGTACCAAAGGAAGAGAGTGTACAATGAAAGACTGCAGCTATTGTTCCAAGGGAATATGCTTTCACTCACGAAGCTCCACAAGGCCAAGATCCGGCTACAGTTCTTGGGTGTGAGGGTGAAGAACCCCGGCACAGAGACTCTTGGATCTGCGAACTCGAACATGTTAGTGTCGATTCCAGATCAGATCACAGAGATCCAGAACAACGACCGCTGCCGACACAATCAGAGGTACCTGAACGTTTGCAACGGCTGGGTGAAGCCATGGGCTGTTCGGGCCACGAGTGGTCACTCTACGATTTCGATCCCCAGAACAATTTGCTTCAGTTGGACAAGGACCGGTTCGCAATATCTCCGTCTATGACCCTCTTGACACGTCTCGGGGGCGCGTTCCACGCTACAGCATGCCGCAACTTGGATTCTATTGTTCTGCAGGGCGTCATGCCTGGTTCGGAGGATCCTGACGGGGACTTCGACCATCGGCGTCGATTTCAGGACAACCGAGGTGGCAGACTCCACAGTTACTGGGGGGTGTTCGCACCGTTCGACAGCCGGAACGCGACTACCAAAGCTCGGGTACACGGGCCGCAAGCCAAACACATGCCACTTGTGGTCCTCCCGAGAAGGTGGACGTATCACTGACAGCGGTGTCGTCATCGTTGGTCGAACGATATCGTTCCAGTTCGTGAAGGAGGTATGGTTTTGCGTCCCGAATCCTCAAGATACACATTCTTTCGCTCTGGTGGAAAAGATCTATGATGAACGATTGGAGAAAGAGATGGTGTTGGACTACAATGGATCCCCATTGCTTCCTGAATTCGAGAGATATCGAACGCCAAGCAAAATCATGGAATTGCTTTGCGAGATGCCTCCTGGACCTCATGACACAAGCAAGGAGCAGATAATGCGAGACCTTACCACTGTCTTGGAGTCCCACAGGGAGAACACGGTTCGGCATCACTACATGGACAAGGGCATCAAGTTTGTCATCAAGAACTGGCGACCCGAAGATCTACGAAGAGATGAGGATGGCAGGAGAATGAGGGTATGCCCAGCGTGCTACAACATTGTTCCAGCATGCTTTTCTCGATGCTCATCCTGCTGGTCACAATTCGTTTCTTGCGGATACTACCAAGGTACTCCACAACGGGATACTCCAACGGAGATCCCAAGTGACTTCATTGCTCAGACGATGGAAGCTGCGGCAGCAGCAGTACCTGAGGCAACCGTCGAGGAACAGGAAGCCATGGAAGCGGAATCGGTTGCGGAACCCGAAGCAATTCCAGAACCATCCGTTGTTGGTGATGACGATCCAGAACAGGAACCTGATGAAGAAATGGACACGGAACCAGGAGAGGACTTTGATGACGAAGTACCAGATGCGGTGGCACAGGAACGACGTCCCGTCCTCATTGCCGGTCAGTCCTTGAACATCGACCCTGAACTGCAGATCGCCCGCACCGCCATGCAGCCGTCCTACTACCACGGAAAACGAAATGCCCATTGCATCGACGCCAACATGGCTGCTCTTTCGTACATGGCATTCGTGGTATGCAGAACCATCTACAAAGCTTGGTCAGGATTCGCGAAGTGGGCGACTATGCCGCTGTTTCAGATGAGAGAGAATTTCGCGCACGGCCAACGCTATGTGTGCTCGGAAAGTGGGGAACTTTGGCTGGAGTGGACAAAGAAACAGGTGTGAGCAGGGATGTGACTGATGAGGAGATCCTTCGCTTTGCCAAGGAGCCTGACAACCTCAAGTCGTATGATCCCAACGGGACTTACACTTTGAAGCGCTTCCGGACGAACCAGATGCTTTCGCTATTGACACGGGGAGCCAACATGATGGGAATCGGCAGGGACAACTTCAATCCAACCACGTACTTGAAGAGTAACAAGGATGAAGACGTGAAGGCAATGCACTTTTGTTGCCTAAACGTCCTATGCGAAGTTATCCCGATGGTGACAGGACATCAACAATTTTCGGTACTACGAAACACGCCAACTGGACCGGTGGACTTTCTGTACATCGACCCGGTCGGCATCCTCTTGACTCATGCAGATTATTCCGTCCAGACCATTGGACTGCTGGTGGACCACAACGTGCAAATGCCAGCGCACTTCTTGGACAGATTGGTCAAGTCCAGAGTTGAAAGACAGCAACATCCGAATGTTCGACGTCCTGAAGCATTACATCACATTTCGGCCGAAGAATATCTCCCTCCGGGTGGTACTTCCATCATGGACACGCCCGTCACTACGGAGGAACGTGCAAGCGCTTCCTCGGCAAAGGGACCGTCAAAAGGGCGTGAGAGAACCGGAGATGATCAACATGGAGGTTGGAACGCCAACTCTTACCATGGCTACATCGCCGGCAAAGGCCGAAACAAAGGCAAGGACAAAGGAAAGCAGAAGAGCCAGTATCCAGAGGAGAACCTCCGGCCCTGGGAACGCGATCCTACGTCAACGCGAAGATGGCGGTGAGACAACACCTGATCTACCTCATCTTCCAGCTTGTGACCTCTGCGCTTCGCACGTGGAATCCCATCGCGAATGCTTCTTTCTTCGGTGACGCCTGATTCGTTTGCCATTTTAGGGGATCGTTACCGACGTAAATGAGTGTCACAACGTCTCTAATTGGGATGCAAAAGCTCTGATCCATATGTCAAAGTTGCGGCGGAACAATTTTCTGATATTCCTATCGTGCCATCTTCCGGGTGAGCAGCGTCGGAGACGCAACTCATGGGGGGTGCGAACGGACTGCGATGCCTTGTCAAGTTCTAAGGTGTCACTATAAGAGCTGTGAGCAAGACCGTGTAAAGTGCAAGGGAAGAGGGCACGCTACGCGTCCCTCGTCTCTAGGAGTAGGATTGTGGTAGTGCTACGCACACCGCAATGCCTATCCGTCCTTTCAGTATGACCGCCCATGCAACATTTGGCTCAAGAATGAGCACAAGCTCTAGAAAGCATTGCCCATAGCTAAAGTGCTATAATCTTCTGTGATTCTCCGAGTGGACAGAGCTATCCCGTGCACAGACGATCCACCGCCGGCCGTGAGTGTGCAAAACGAGCGAACGCTGGATCTGCCTGCATAGGAGCGCGTGTGTGGAAGTGGAAGTAACAGTGGTCCAGTCTGTAGAGGGCAACCACGCCAACAGTCAATATAGCTCTTTGTGGGGTGAGCGACAGAGAACATCACCAAGATCAAATCCCCACGCATACTACTACTACTACTACTACTACTACTACTACTACTACTACTACTACTACTACTACTACTACTTTTTGGCCGGCGGGCCCGGAACATGCGCTCACCATTGAACGGGTTTGTGTTGAAAATCGGTGCCGGAGCGGGTTCGTGATGCTCGACGATTCCGTGCGGCTGTGTTCGACCCATCCTGAACCCTCCCGGACCACGATCCGAGGCTTGCCGGCACCGTTTTGGCCGCCTGGCCGGGAACAGGCGCTAAGCATAAGCGGGGTCTATGTTAAAATCGAGCGTCGCGCCCGTGCATGGTCCACTCGCAAAACGGGCAGCGCTTGGGGGCCGTCGGGGCGCACCCTCGCCGGGCGGATGCAAAATCCGAAAAAATTGGGGTGCGGCATGGTGTTTTAGGGCCATAGAACTTGGGTCAGGGTTTTGAGGATATAGCTATTTTGCTCCTGCGTGGGCAAGGGTTGGGTACGAAGCCCGCGAAGGGCAAAACACCCACCAAGGGCAAGAAACCCGCAAAGAGCAAAAAACCCGCCGTGGGGCAAGAACCCGCGAAGGGCAACAAGCCCGCGAAGGGCACAAAAGTCCAAAACCCAAAAGCCTAAACCGCTGCTGAGGAAAGACTTCCACGAGCCCGAAGGGCAAAGCGTGGCAGGATTTGTGAGAGAGGTGCTGAAAAGCCCGCGGCTTGAGGATTGTAGTACCCTTATAGGAACAGGCAAGCGGAAAAAACATACCAAAAACAACAGAAAAACAACACCGAAAAAAACGCACGACCGCTGGCATGGGGTGATGGAACATGCTCTTCCATACGCGCAGCTTCATGTTAGCTCAAGCTTAGCTCCATGGCCTTTTAAGTTCTCCCTTTCTTGGCTGGACGGCTCTGGGCCGAGCTCTGCTTGCCACTACTACTTTAGAAGCCGTGTTTTTTCCGTGTCCTTCAGGCCGAAAGCGGAGTTTTGTGGATGGCGTCCAATGTGGTGCGCTTACCTGACGCGTCTGTTCGGCTAAGCCCCTTGTGGCTGGTATATGATTCAAGCAGCTTTTGCTGTCTGTAGGGGACACAAGCAGATGACGTGACTTACAAGCCCAGTCCGTTCATGAAAGCTGCTGCAGCTCGGCTGCAGTGACAATGCAAGCGGCTGGCCCGTGGCACGAGAGAATGCACGAACTCCGCACCGGGCAGCCTAGGCACAAATTATTGAGGCCATATGGGTTGGGATGTGGGACTCGCCTTGCATGACCGCTTTTTGCTGAGCTGCTGGTTTTTATCCAGGCTTCCGAAGGCCATGTGCCCGATGACCTGAGCCTTGACTGTGGTTGGCCCTAGCTAGAGGCGCGGGGCAGCGTTTCGGAGAACTTGACCGAGGAATTGGGATCCCCTGACGATGAGCTATGGCCGAAGCTCCGGCTTGCCAGTACTCTTTGTGCTTTTGTTCATGTGGCACTGCGAGCCAAGGCGAGAATGGTCTGCCGAGCGACGCGATCGAGCTTCCGCCGGAACTGATGATGCCTCTTGGCAACAGCGCGGAGGGAGACCCAAGAGAACCGACTGCCGACTGTACCTCAGTACCTCTCTCCGAGGAACCTCGTAGGCCCTGGCCTTGCAGCGGTCCGAGCAGCCCAACGACCGCCACCTCCCGCAGCCGCTTGGAGTGAGGTTAAAGGCAAACAGCCGGTTCAAACAGACGGAATGAGATGGAATGTGCAGCGAGGCACCATTGGCTCCATCCCAGGAGCGTGCAAGGCAAGTCCTGGCTTCGGATTCTGGCCTGTTTCGGATTGGCTGTCGCAGTCGCATCATGAAAGGAAACGCTTGCAGCAGAGAAAGGACGCCTGCTGTGAACTGCAAGATTCTGCAAGTACAGGCGCTGCACTGTCTTTCTTTGCGGCTCTAGATCTGTTGCAGGAGGCCGCTGCCCGGGAAGCTGCCGAAAAAGCAGCCCCTAGCCTATCGCAATTACGGAAGATCTTCTGCTGTTCCCTCGGCTTTGAGCTTTGATGTGCAGCGGTCATCTGCCAACAAAGGAGACCCAAGAGAAGCAGGCTTGGTTTGTTGGAGGTCCACTGTGTGCGGTGTGAAGGCAGACGGCAGCTCGTGTGAGGCAGAGGAAGTATTGGATGAGTCCTGGATCGATCAGATGGAGCAGTGGCTCGGCCGGTAGACTGGTTCAGGTCCATCCCAAAAGTTTAAGCCTGCGAACCAAGGAAGAATGCCAAAAAGAAGGCCCTTTCTTGCATCCCATTGTCGCAGCTTTTTGTGATGCGCCAGCCGTCAGGCAAACCAAGAAAAGGCAGCTCAAATCCGCAAAGAACGCAAGAAGGCCTTCCATCGATTGCAGATTCAGCAGCGATCATGCGAGAACCGCTGGAGCTAGGCCAAGAAAGCAGACGCTGTTGCAAAGCAGGCAGGTCAGCGGGTGCAGTCCACGACCCAGATTACAGGCAGATGCATCCATGCAGGAGGCATTGGAGGTAGCAGAAGCAGAGGACGTCAAAGAAGATGCCGAAGCTGAGGCGAGTTTGAGCTGTTTAGCTGAGCAACGGTGCTTCCAATAGCATCGACACGGTAGGGCGAGCGTGAGAGAGATGGAGAGGCCGCGACCTGCGCAGGTCGCGGGTGCATTCGCGCGCGGTGGGGTGGGGAACTTCCCATCCCACCACAACCCTGGCGAAAGAAAGGGGGCTAGACCCCTTCCTTCAATCTGAAGCAAGCAAAACACCGGATCCCGCACCCTCCCGATGCAGATGGGTGGACCCTGGAACGACAGCATGAACTGGGAGACTGACCACCTCCTCAGTCGCAATGATGCTGTAATCCGCTGTTCATCTGCATGAACGGCGACTCTGAGAGCGGAGGTTCACAGCTGCAGACCACGGGGGACACACAGGAGAGTCTGGTGATGTTTTTGCGTGTTTGTACATGCATGTAGTGCTGTTTGGCGCCATGTGATCCCCCAAACGACTGCCAATGGGGGACACGGGGAAACCTTCCCAACATGCAGTATGAATAAAGCACCGAATGATAATCCTCCAAAGCAGGCCGAAGCTCGGTGAACTTCTAGTGTAAAGTCGGCGGTGATCAGGGCTTGTGTTCGGCCGGGGCATCAGTCTTACATCTTCAAAGGACTCTCGGCAGCGGTGAGCCACTTCTAGGCTGCTATGTGTTCCTCTGTTTTGCCAGAACCGAGGGATCCCATTAGCAACAAATCAAATACAGTTGTGATGCTTCGACTGTGCTTGATGTGGAGACTGCCGCCTGTCATGCGCACAGCTCCCTCACGATGAGACTTGCGTTAGTTGATCCAGCAACTTGTAGAAACAAGACAGTTGGCGAGCAGCCTTGGGGCCGTGTAATGATGTGATTGTTTGTATGTTGATCATGGGGGGTTTCATGATGTCTTGATATGCATTTGCGCCTCAACACTGTGCATGCAGAAGCACTGCGAAATGGACCCGTCGAGGGATTTCTTTGTGTAGTGGGTCAACATGTTGTGTTTTGAAAGTGGAGCGACGGGGGACTATTATCATTCACGCATGTTGTGAGAAGCGTTGCTCCCTCATGGCATGACTTAGTTCAACGTTAGAGAGCAATCAACACAAGTTTCACGTCCTGTTGGGGCAGTTGTGGACGGGTGACTTGCCATCGAAATGAAGAAGGGACCTCACGCCCCAAAAAAGACAAGGGGGCGGGTTTAGGGCAAGTTTAAGGTTTCTGAAGGAGACAGGTGAGAGAGGGCAGTCTACACTAGCAGATGGTTCAACGAGGAAAGGGCGTGTCTTTTCCGAGCGGTGCACTCCGAAAGTGCTGTGAGACCTTTCAATGAACGGAATGCAACACATCACCGTGGCGACGGGCGATGCTTTCTCTTGAAAGGATGTCGGGTTGGGTTCGATGCTGAGGTCTCTTCATCTCTCTCCCTTTGAGAATTTAGACCCCCTCAATGGGAGGGAACGCGCATCTCCTAGCCAGGACAGCAGGGCTATTCCGCTTTAACCCGCAGACCAAACCACAAGTGAGTCTGCATTTTTAAAGCTCCATTCCATAATGAAGAGCTGCCCGCGGCGCATGAGTCCTGAAACAACCGCCTTGCCGTCAGTAACTACGAAGTGAAACAACAGATATATACCGAACGGGCATTTCTTCAAGCCTTCCAACAATGAACGCTGGGCTTGACACACACCAGACACAAGGTGCATGTGGGCTGACAGCAGGCCTACAGTTTTGCACCGGTGCTACGGCGCGAAAGCATCTCTTTCGATCAATATCTCGGTGTGTGTGTGTGTGTGTGCGCGTGTGTGTGCTTCGGCATGCCTTCTCCAAGCCTGCCAGCAAGCCAGAAAGAAAGAGCAGCATGTATGCAGCATTCCAGCCTTACTTCGTGGTGTGGACTTGGTAACTGGGTACTGGTTATGGCCCAGACTCCACATGATTCCGTCCTTTGGGTGCAAGTCGCGGACAGATATATTTCTTTCGAGTGCCTCACCCCTGAAGCCCGAACTTGAGCAGGTAGAGGATGAACCGGAGGAGGAACAGGCTGAAGATCCGATCGACGAGGAGGACATTGTGCCTGCATGAGGTCTCTGCGTTCTAAAACCCGTGTCTGCGCAGGAGGAGGACACGCAGTTTGTGGAGCAGTCGAAGCAGCGCCGCAAGCGACAGGCCAAGCAGGCAGCCTAAGTGTCTGGGAACTTTCGCCTGTAAAACGGACATGCTTGTCGAAAGCATTGGTTCTATCTTGCTGACACAGCTTGCAGAGCTGATGTCTAACACTTTCGGATGCGAAGGCTTTTTCCATGAAGCATGTGGGAACATGAGGGAGCATGTGGGAAGACGGGGGCATCACCTTTGAAGAGGCCAAGAAGCTTGCAGAGGCCGGCGGTCCCTTTGGTCGCTGCGTGGCCTCCCTCCAACTTCCTGCACGTGGCGTAGCATGCCTGGCATTGCGGCATACCTGCCCGGCAGGAAAAAATACGTCAGGAGGAGGAGGAGCAGCGCCAGAAATTGGAAGCAGCATTGCGCGAGAGAAGAGAAGCTGATCAGAGAAGAAAGGCAAGCATCGGCAAGTTTCTCAGACATGCCACCGGTGTTGGCGTTCTCCAGGCACAGGAGGAGCAGGACCGCTTGGAACAAGAGCACCAACAAAGGCTGCAACGGGAGGCAGAGCAGGCAGAATTGCGCCGCAAGGCAAGTGCCACATGTGCCGATCATGTGCCTCACTGGTTTCGCGTCTTTGGAAGCTCGCGGCGCGCGTGCCCGGCGTGCCCGTTGCAGAGTGCAGGCCGAGAAGGAAGCCGAGCTGAAGAAAGAAGAGGAGGAGCGCCAGGAGCGCCAGAAGGAAGAGAAGCGCAAGCGTGAGGAAGAGGAGAAAGAGCGCCAGAGGCAAGCTGAGGAGGAAGAGCGGAAGCGACAGGAGAAGGCCGAAAAGATCAAGGAGGAACAAGCCGCTGAGACGAAGGTGCTCGTGCCTGCTTTTCTGGTTGTGACGTGTCATCACTGTGCGGCCAGGAAGCGGAGGAGCTGGGGCGCGAGCAGGCGCCTACGTAAGGAACGCACATCTTTGGATCAGCCTGTGACAGCCTGTGTATGCAGTGATAGTCTTGTGTTAGGTCAAGCAGAAGGCGGCAGAAGAGCGCCGTCGAGCTGAGGAGTTTCAGGAGACTTGTGCAGACACTTTGGATGGCTTTATATGGCTTCTGTTGCCAAGCGCTTTGGCCTGTTTGCCTCATCGACTCATCGTTGCTATTCCTTTTGGGTTGCGATTTGTAGCCGCTGGTTAGGAACATGGGCGGAAGTTCTCGGCAGACGATAGATACGTGAGGAATGTGCGCAGTGGAGACCGTCTGTTCAGGAAGCTATGGCACAACGGGACGCAGAGAGATCACGACGCGGAGGAAGGGATAGAAGATCGCAGGCAAGACGCAAGTATGCTTTCCATGCGTGCCGCTGGATCTGGAGATTGCATCGAGCTTTGCTAACTGTTGTCCGGATCTCGCGCAGGCCAATTCTGAGCATCAGGACTACATCGGTGTAACATGCTGCAACGGCGACTATGCACTTCGTTGATTGGATCCTGCTTTTGGTCTTTGTGGTAGGAGAGTGAACAGCCACCACAGGCAGGGGGCTGCACAGATTGGCGCCAACTACCGCTGTGACTTGCACGATCGCGCACCGGGAGAACAGGTGAAGTCCCTACGCCAGACGCTGACTCCTTCCCAGCTCCGGCGTCAACAGCGTAAGCGCCAAAAAGAGGCTGCTCGGCTCAACCGATGGTGCCTTTACGACCGCACGCCGCGCGTATCAATTTGCAGCCAAGGCGAGGCGAGCAGCGGAGGCAGCCGAGGCAGCAGATACATACAACATGACATCCTAAACCAGTGCGAGTTGTGGTGATCCAGCCTTTGGTGGAGTGCGATAAGCCTGCTGCGATCTTCGGTCGGCATGGGAAGCCCTCGCTATCGCTGCTGTGGGTCTCCTGATCGAAATGCAATTCCCGGACCCTTAGAGATCAGTGCTTTTACTTTCCTTGAGCGAGCGCGCCTGTTGGTGTTAGGCTCGCTTGACTCGTCGTTTAGGGCCACGGCGGCGGGCGGCGGAGTAGATGAGTAGATCTCAGGGCAGACCTGCCAGCCTGACAGGCTGAAGCAACCGGGGGCCACAAGGCAGACGCTTGGGCGCTTCTTTGTCCTGGGCGCAAATTCGACATATCTCGGCAATCTTGCAGGGAAACCACAGTGACAAAGAAGACAGTGAGGAGGACTTTGTCGAAGAGGAGAAGCCAAAGCCATCCGAGCGGAAGCAGCACGAGCAGCTCGACAGATCGCCTCGGCTTTCACATCCTTCTGTAGCGATGCGATATCTAGGCCTGCATAGGCCTCGCCTTGATCTATACTCAGTCGAGGCGCCATCCGAGGAAGGAGCGAGAGAAAGCTGAGACAAGGGCGCAGCAGGCGAAGAACGGCCTCCGTGGTACAGGAAGACTAGGTGCTTGAATTGGCATGACTGCTCTCAGGTCGAAAGAAACTCTTCGGACGAGAAGGCAGATTCCAGGCGAGGTAGCAAAGAAGATGCGAAGACACCCGAGGCAAAGCTTCGAGAGCACACGTGCGACGAAACAGTCACATAGCATGCCGAGCCGATGGCAACGAAGCATCTGAGTCGTGAGGCCAGAACTAGCAGCCCGCCGCGGGAAGAAGCGCAAGAGCGGGAGTCTCAGAAGTCAGAAGCTCTGAGTACGGCCTTTTCCTCATCTCTTCATTCTTTACAGGATGCTGCCTGGTGCCAGCACGCCCGAGAGACAGGTAGGGGGTTTTCATCCAAAGACCAGGGCAGCGAGCGAGACTGAGCGAGACGTTGCAGGAGTCCGAGGAGCTGGAGAAGCCGGAAACCGCCGCGGCCAAGGAGTTGAGGCAGATGGGGTCGACACTTCATGCGTTAACAGCACGACACGCCCCCTTGCAACGCATACCCAGGTCGGATGCCGAGGTGCGTGTATCGTGGAGATGCTTTCATCCTTGTCCATTGTAGTAACCCGATTCGCAGGCATTCACTCTTTCCGGGTGACCTGGCTACATGCAAGTCGCGGCGTGCAGAAGTGAGAAAACGTTGGGTGCTTGCCGAGGTCCAGTCAGGCATTTGGCCGACGCAAGCGGTCGCAGGCAGCTTGCAAAGGCTTGGACGTCTCCAAGTTTGTGCAACGTAATGCAGGATATGCAGGACGAGCAGACGTTCCCGGCTCGGCGATCTTTTCTCGAAAGCTGTGAGCCTTCAACTCTGCGTCCGCACTCTGCACTACTAAGTCTGATGCAATCGATGATGCCCATCACAACGCTGATGATCTCGCAGATTCCAGACCACATGGATGCCGATACCTTCCGGTGCCAAGCCCAAGCACTGCATCTTCTGTGGTTGAAGAATGACTAACGAGTACATCGCTCCTGTTTGCTTGCATTTGTCAGCGGTTCGGACGCCTCGGCGAACGGCTGAGACGGCACCAGTGCGTCATGTAGTGTCTTGTGTCTTCGAAACAA